ACCAAGTGGTTCTTCCTACCCAATTCAATCAGCATATGATGCCCATAATACAACATGACGATTACCTCCTGCAGCACATCTAAGCACCCCTCCTTTTCCAACCACTTCAACAATAACCTAAACTACCTTTCCGTGAACCTTGAATTATTTTGGCAACTACAATGGGACTAGTGGGACTACCTTGCATTGGCTCTAAGGACCATGGTTGTACTGAGATAGACTAGGATGTTTGAATTCATTGATCAGTTACATTCCCCTTTTACCATAAGCAACGGATTGCCAGACCAGCAAACAGGATAGGAGAACTGTATCAGAAAAAACATGGATGTTGGGACAGATTGTATATTTTCTTTATTCAATATGTTTCTGAAATTGTGTTGAAGGCGAGATAGGTGTGTAGGTACAAGTTTAGTGGATGAGATACAAGGGAGGAAGACATGTTAATCCGGGATGTCGCTAGCTGACATGAGCTCCTATGAGCCCCTTTTTAGGTAGTGATTTTGGGTTTATGTTTGAAGGAGTAGTAGCAAGACATGATGGTGCCTGTGATAGTATATTTTAGTTAGTGGTTTTTAGTGTATGGGAGAGACTGGTTGTATGCCGGAGTCAGTAGTACTATTATAAATAAAATTTGATTGAATATTCTAAGTTATTTCCTTACTTATTACTTCTACAAATAAAACATCTTCACACTCTTTATTCTTTACATTTCTCACGAGTCTAATGGCAATATTTATATATGTTGCAACAATAGGTATTACTCAAGCAAGTGTTGATAATGTAGGCCAAAGGACTTAAGAACTATTGAAGGAAGAAGATATATATATATATTTATAAATCAAGAAAAGGTATTGTTACCCATCGCTATATATTAACAGGGACTGGGAACATTACACAACTTCTCATATTAATAAAAGTGTAGCAAGTTAGGAGAGTGAGATTCAAGATTTAGATAAGAAATTTGAGTCTATGTGCTCAAAGCTTGATGCCACTCAAGTTCAGCTAGAGCAGATTGATAAGGTATATGAGGAGGAAATACCTGATACAGAATTGGATAATGGTCTTGTAGGAAGTGATAAGGAAATACTTTCTGGTGACTCTGATATTGACAATAATAATGATAGAGTCCTTTTTTATTGAAATTTATGTTAATATAAATGAGATTAATCACTTTCTATACCGTTAGCGCTGTTGCTTTAACCGAAGAGTCTAGTTCTGCACTTGCATATGACTTTCCCCGATTAGGGTGGGTGGCTCACTATGCCGGGCGCTCGCTCTGGCATGGAGGACGTTAGATACAATATTTCTCAGGATGTCATGGAGGTAAATATAGGCTATAGAAGCAACAGTGGATTTGAGGGTAAGCACTCTCTCTACAAGCAATGTTTTCCTTGTTTTCATATAGAAATTCATATCTTCCCTCCCCCTAACTAGTTAAGCAACTAAGTAATCCTTTTTACTGTTATTAAGCAACTTGAAGGCTACAACAAAAGTACGATAAGGCAGATAACTCGCATAATAAGATTCTACGAGAATAGGATAGAGGTACTCCTAAGAATAGGTCTCCGGAGGTAACTCCCAAAGTACAGGGTAAATGGGTAGTGATATCCTACATCCCCCCCCCAAAGTTAATGATATACAAGTGCCATGGGTGAAGTCTTCGCACACACCAAAGTGGCTTACCAGCAAAAAAATGTTAAAAATTGGTGAGGTCACAAAGTAGTGTGTGCGAAGACTTCACCCATGGCACTTGTACACTTGAGAAAATGGTGATACTTTTGTGGTGTTAATATTCCCATTTAGGTAATAATTTTCAATTACCAGACGTGTAGCAGAGACAGAAGACGGCAAGAACCACAGCACATTCCACAAGTATTATCTATCGTACATCATTACTTTAACGTTTTGTTCATGAGATTTCTTGTCCCGATATCATTCATGTTTTCTTCTCTCAGATATCTGCCGCAACGTCGAAATCATATCCAGATCTTTTCCCCCGACCCGGCAAACAGGGATCTGGATGCATTCCCCGCAAAGTCTCAAATATCGAGTGCATGTGGCATCATCTCCTGAAGGTTCAAAAAGCTCGATATCTTCATGGACCATCACCCTAAAACGCAATTTGGAGGGACCAAGTGGCTAGCTCGTTAAATTCTGTACTCCATCCCGGCGCTAGAGTCAATTGCGAACGGAGCCAGAATACCTCCCGCATTTGCCCCCCATTCCCTCATCATGTTCTTTTCTATTTTAATAAGCGTCGGTGCCCCCCACCCTAAGCGGGACACGATAGCGGTGTGATAGGGAACCGGCACCCATAGACTTCTTTTGCGTGTCCCCAAGAGAAAGGAAATTTGTCTCTTGTCCAGTCGGCATGCCAGATATCCAGACAAAACTCGACGTTATTCCTTCCATCTTCTCATTATGATAGTCTTGGCTTAGACATTGTACGATATTGGGCCCTTCAGAGTGGGGTTCGGGGGAAGAGATTTAAATATCATACGTGTAATTCGGCTTCGCTTGGTCTCTCAGGTGGATTTTCTCTTAATTTTCCCTTCCTCTTCCATCTTCCCTTTCCCAAAGGGTTTCTACACCATCACACAATCAGGAAGCTGCTAGGTCTAGGGAGAGGTTTGACCAATAATCTTTTTCCTCTCTTTTCTATCGTATTTCCCTCTTTCGCTCTCATGAGTTCGCCAATATCATACCTCGATATATGTGGGGCTGAGGCACATCTTTGAAAAGGAGCCACTCAAAAAAAGAACCGGCCCGAGGAGTTATATACCTTTGATGCGGTAATCGGTTCCTTCCCAACTCAATCTTTGAACACCAGCAAGTAAGGCACAAGCCACTTATTCCGGGAATTCCATGATAGATCTATTATACTGTGCTCAAATGCTCGGGCACAGGCTTAAGATTTGTTCTTCTCCCAACCCACATTCCTATTTGTGGGCTTTTATTTACTCCATTTTGGACCCTCCCCTCGTCCTCCCCCTCAATTCATTCCTTCTTTTCCCCCTTCATTGACTCCCCCTCCACACACACACCCTCTCCCTATTCCTTGACCTCTCCTCCTTGCCTTCTTCTTCCGTTGCCCCCTCAATTAGATCTTCCAAGCAATTGCCCTTTCTTGTTCCCCTTATCCTCCTATTCCTCACTCTTTGCCCTTCCCCCACTCAGCTTCCTTCCTTCCTTTGATCTTTCCACAACATTGCACTCGCTATCAGCTTCCTAATTTTCAACCCCCCCTCTCTCTCCCATTTCCCAATTGCTAAGTCTCTTTGCCACAACTGTTCGTTGGCCATCTGCCGCGCGTCCAGGGAAACCTCAGGATGACGTCTGTATCCGCAACGTCTACATCCACGTCCACTTCCGTCTCAGTCGCACTTAGCTCGGATCCTACCCCGAGCCAAACCAGGCGTTCCACATTTCCATCTGCAACAGCATCCACCCCCCCACCACAATCCCCACACGAAGTAACCTGCCGGTCGAATGGCTATCACAGGAACCAGAAGAAGCCAAAAGACTCGCCAGAATGCGACAAGTACAAACACGCGTTTGCAGTGCATTCGATGCCCAGGACGTCCACGCTGTCTCACGACTCTGTCGACACCCCTTCCTTCATTGGCTTCCGAAATTTGATGGTTCTGGTTCTGAGTAGGCTTTTTCCGAGATCCTTCGTGTGTCTGTGGCTTTTTGCGAGTGCAATTGGGCTTACGTGCATTGCGATGTGTGATTAGTTGTGGGTAATCTGCGGCTCGTTATTGAGAATTACATGAAGTATGGTGTTCTTGTGCACATTTCTGGAGCCGAGTTCCGGAGAGATGACTTGAAGATGTTTTGTCTTCTCTACTGCTTGATTCCCGCCCACCTATTTGTTGGTTTCCTGATCGAGTTCATTGCCGCATACACTGCGCGCGGGGACCAGGCGAGGAACAAGAAGTCGGACAATAGGAATCCAAAGCTACAGAGCTACTGGCGGATTATTGCACTGGCCCATGTGGTTAACGCGACGATGAGTCTTAGCGCCGCCAATTGGGTGGTTTATTACAGAATTCATCATCCACTGATTGGCACTTTTTGTGAATTTCATGCCGGTGAGTTGCTCTCTGCCCTACGTCTACATTTCCGGAAATAGGCTTTTTAAAGGCATGACCTAGGCTAATATCGTGAATAGTTATTGTCTGGCTCAAGCAGTTATCATATGCGTTGACAAATCGTGACCTCCGGGATGCGTTTCTAGAGGGCGTGCCCACTCCGAGGATCTACCAAAGCTGCCCGTACCCTCAGAACATTACAGTTCGCAACCTTTGCTACTTCTGGTGGGCGCCAACACTTGTCTATCAGCCGGTATACCCGCGCTCGCCGACCTTCCGTTGGCCCTTCTTCCTCAAGCGTGTTGGGGAGACAATTGCTCTATCGATCGCTATCTGGTTCCTCAGCGCGCAGTACGCCGTGCCGGTGTTGCAAAACAGCGTGGCAGCTATGGGGAAACTCGACGTGGCCGTGATTTTGGAGCGCTTGATGAAGCTGAGCACGGTCAGTCTAATAATCTGGTTGGCGGGTTTCTTTGCACTTTTCCAGAGTGGGTTGAACGCCCTGGCTGAACTGTTACGATTTGGTGATCGGGAGTTTTATACCGAGTATGTCTCACTTCCACAAACCCTCACTTGCTTGTTCCTTGCATTGCAGCAGCGTACATATATTAACTCAACCCCGCAAAAAAAATATAGTTGGTGGAACTCCTGTTCGGTTGGCACGTATTGGAAGGTGCGCCAATCACGCCTATCATTCGGGGAAAACACATCGAGCTGACTTTTTTCCCACTAGACATGGAACAAACCCGTAAACAACTTTATGCGTCGCCACATCTATGCACCGCTCCTTGGACGCGGATGGTCCAATCAGAGCGCCAGTGTCATTGTCTTCACCTTCAGTGCGATACTCCACGAATTGCTAGTTGGTGTGCCCACGCATAACATCATTGGTGTCGCGTTCGCCGGAATGATTTTCCAGATTCCACTAATCGCAACCACCGCTCCCTTAGAGAAAATGAGGGGGCAGGGGAGTGTAATTGGGAATGCGATTTTTTGGTATGCTTTTTCATCCCTTCCCTCCTTGTAATTTACATTCCTATTTGGACCCCGTGACTGACGATGATTGATAATATCATACAGGGTTAGCTTTTGTCTGGTTGGGCAGCCCTTCGCTGTCTTAATTTATTACTTTACCTGGCAGGCGAAGTTTGGGGATGCTTCGAGGACATTCAAACTTTAGTCTTGTCTTGTCCTTGGTCTCCGTTCTTTTTGGGGTTCTTATACATATTACTGGGCGTTTTGAGGGGAAATTTTCTTTCTATCTCCTTGTTTTGTTTTGCTGTGTAAGTGGGGTTGTAGTGGGTTAGCTAGAGGGTTGTGTTTATTTATCCCATTTTCACATTACATCTGTATGCTCACATCATATCTGTATGGGGGGGTTTTGAACCTTTCAATGTGAGTGCGAGTGTGTGGTCGGGAAGTGGGAACCGTAATCTATCCTTCACATGTACTCGAGGAAAATGTAGTTTAGATGAAACGGTGCCTTGAGAAGGAGCAATTACTTGTGCCCTATCGTGTAGCGCAGTTACAGCGTGCAGCTAGATCGCGGGAGGGACAGTGGGAGAGGATATCTTGCTGCTTGGAGGAGATCCGTCTGCGTTGATACTGCCCTGCTCTCTCATTTTCCTGGCACAGTACTTGCAGTGCTGGGTTATTGGAGATTCCACTCCTTGTCATATCCGTCGTCCATACCGGGGATCAATAACAAAAGCCTAGAGGAAGGGAGGGAGGGGCTAATATTATATACGAAGTGAACTACCAACGTCGTACTTGTACCGTATCCATGGGTTAGGCTCCCTCTACCAGTTTACAGTGCTGCAGGATGTCAGGATTGAGCATAAGACAAGAGGAGATGATTGGTTCTCGTGTTACTGTTGCCACCAGCATGATAATGCAGCAGTGACTTAGATTACAAGCTTATTCTCCTCACCCCGCGATCTACCGTTCGGGACTCGGGACTCCATACCATCCTATTCTATCCTAGATCTGCCGTTCAGCACACCCACGAAAATGGCGCGAGTACTAGTACGGTACGGTACCCGAGTACCGGTACTCGTACTTGAGCTCAAACAAATGCGCACGCATGGACCATAGCTTAAATTTTAAATCCAGGCTATTGATTGACTGATTTGATTTGATTTGATTTCCCAGAGTCCCATGTATTGACTAGCAGTGCGGTGTATGGTTGATTCATATCACATCCAATAGAGAAAAATGCAAGCAAGGAACAGACAACCACCTAGAATAAAGCCAACATAACCCAACCGAAACGAAATGAAACCCGGAAGCGGGAAAAGAAATAAAGGGGGTAAAAAATAACAGTATGATGATGAAAGCCATTTACTAAAGAGAACAGCACTCCTATCCATACTCCCCTCCCCTCATCACCCTACCCACGGGTGGGCAATCAATTAGCAACCCCAAAACTAACCCCCACGACCCCCATGCCCAAAAATCCCCAAACAAACGGCACACGCCCACCATGGTGCAATCCAACAGCTTGCGAGAACAGCTGCAGCCCAACAGAGCACATAATCCCGCTCGTGGCGGCGAAGAGGACGCCATACCCCCACTCGTGCCCCGCGACCTCACCGCCACCATTGAGCATGCCGAGCGCCGCGATGCCGGCGCCCAGCGGCTGCGAAAGGCCGCCGAGGAGCGATGCCCAGAGGATGGCGTATGCACGCGATTTTAAAGCGAGGTAGAGCGGTAAAGACATGGCGAAGCCTTCTGTTATATTGTGGATGAAGATAGCTAGGAAGAGGGGGAGGGCGAGGGTTGGGTTCGCGTGGTTGGTTGTGTAGGTTATGAAACCCTTTCATCAATGTTAGTATAAAAGGTGGAGGGAGGGAGGGGCAATACTTCGGGGATTTTGTGAATTGCAATGGCGATTGAGGTTTGTACGCCTATGCTTAGGAATTGATTGTCCACAACGTGGTGATGGCCGGGTGTTGGTGGGTCTACATCTCCGTCTGGGTGTATGGTATTTGAGATGGCAGAGCGACTACGTCCCGGCCTAGAGTGTGAATGCGGGTGGTCGTGATGATGCAGTTCATGGTGAATAGGTGCAGCTTCACGAGAGATGCTTCGATAGCCTCTCTCCAAGTCTCTGTTTATCGAGACTTCTTCGTTGTCCCGATGGGAGGGCGACTCACTTCCACTAGACCCTGGAACGGCGACCCTTTCCCCGGCACATTTCTGCTCGCAGTCGTGGTCGGAGAAGCCGTAGCACTTCCCCTCCGCACCGCCCACACACCCACGGACTAGATTGGATACGGACACCGAGATCTTGCGAACGACGCTAGCCTGGCGTCCCAGTAGCGGCGCTCTCTCGTCCACTCCGCCCCTCCCTTCGTCTCTACCCATTCCCCGGCCCCTCCCCCGTGTGCTAACCCTCCCGTGCTCATCACAGCTGACGATCGAAGACGGTAGGAAATAGTGCAGCAACTCTGAGACTATCTGCAACCCGCCCACGCCGCCCAAGAATGCTGCCATAAGGACAGCGTTCGCAGTCGCAGGCGTGAGGCCGGATGTGAGTAGGTACTCTCTTGACTTTGGTAGCATGCCGTAGAGTGCGCTGAAGAACATTACACCGAAGGAGAGGGAGAGGGAGGCCGCAAGGAAAGTGCTACTCTCTCTTATGGAGAAGTTTTGGAACCGTCGGAATGGGAGGTGGCAGAGGAGGGTGTCCAGGCATATTATGGTTGACCCGAGCACTATGACAATATTAGTATGGATGGTAGGGGAGAGAAGCGAAGGAGGGAAATACCGCAAGCTGCCCCGCTCGCACAAGCTAATACCCAACCTCTCTGATCCATTCTGCGGTGGTGATACGGCAGCAGAATCTCACGACGGAAGCGGCGAACAATATGAATGCGGGGAATAGGAACCTTCTTGCACTCGTCTCTAAAGGGGGAAAAAATGGCTGGACGTCAAGAGGTGTTGAAGAGACAAATGTGTGAAGGGGACAGAACAGAGCTGGCTTAAGCAAGAGGAGGGCTCACTTCCTCCCTTCCTTCCTTGCCTTATTTCTTCACCCCTTTTTCTTCTCTTCGTTCGTTTCCCAAAATACTCTACGCAACTATCCGCAACCTTCTACTTCTACTTGTAAGGTATCCTCGTCGTGCAGAGAAGAGTCAGGAAAACAAACTCGAAACAAAAAAATAAAATAAAAATAAAAAAGGTGACCGTTCGTTTCGAGTTGTTTCGTTCGCCGGTTTGTTTGCCCCCTCGTCAAGCATCAACTCGCGGGTTAGGTAAGTGGTAGTGAGCAGGTAAGTAACTTGGGTTAGGTTGTCACCACTTCCTCTGCCCCCCACACAGATGCAAAACAAGAGAATAAGCAAGGGAAGCAAGAGGGGGGTGGGGAAATGGTTGAATATGATGGGTACGGCTGGCAGATGGCAGTGGGTGAGGCGGGGCCCCACAAAACAAAAAAACTATGATAGATCAAATTAAATCGGGGGGAATCCACTCACTTCAAACTCTAAAGTACGTACTGTACCGGTAGGGAGAATAACTTTGGAGACCCGGACTCGCCACAAATGCCCTGCAGATTGACAGGGGACTGGTCTTCCGAGGATAAAGGAGAAAGAAAAAGAAGATGGAGAACAAATTGCCCGATTCGATCCAAACCAACCAGTCTACAAACAATAAGATGAAGTGGTAACAGTAGCACCGGAACTACACCAGTATTGAACCCCGCAGTGAACACCACGTTGGAAAAAACAAATACAGTACCACCGCTATATCGCTTCCATGAACAACCGTGGCGGGGAAGGAGAAGGGGGAAGGGGGAAGGAGAAGAGGGAAGAAGAACTGAGAGTTAGACCCGGGTTTCCCTTGAAATTGATGACGGCAACCCCTTGGCTCCCTCCCCTCCCTTTATACTCGAGCATCTCGGGAGGGGGTCGCAGTCAAGCTATATAACAAGAGTGAAGGTCGATATGACTTTTCTCCTCTTTTTGCAAAGAAAAAACGGCGGCGAGTACCTTGGTGGGTAGTCTCTACTGCTTAGTAAGCTTGGCATGTCACTTGTTCGCACTAGCTCCATACTAAGCAAGTAAGGGTTAGCGGTGAGTGGAAGAGAGGGAAAAGGGAAGGCAAAGTCAAGCAAGTGAGCACCCGGATGGATGGATGGGTACAGTATTCGAGTAGGGTGCTGGTGGGTGGATGACCCTGTGCGCTACCGTGATAGAAGGAATTGTAGTGAATGTCATGTGTGGTCACTCGGTATGTGAGTGAGTAGTTCGTGATCCTTGTGGGGTTGGCGAGGCGGGAGAAGGGTGCTTGGGTGCTATTGTATGATACTAGTATTTTTGCAGTATAGTGGGTTCCCTTCGCCCTCTTGATAGATAAGATGTGGTACGGTAGATGTGCTGCTCGAGTACGGTTCACGGATGAGATTCTTTGTTGTGGCGGAGGAGGAGCACTGGTCAAGTCGCAGCATGACCATCGCAAGACAGAAAAAGGAAAAAAAATGACCCCCCCCACGGCTCCTTTGTAGTCCGAAGATATGCTCCGGGGTTACATAATATCATAATAAATCACTGCTAAGCTGTGAATACCACTTTCAACAGTGCCCCCCCCGGGCCCTCGCGGGGCAAGCACTGCCGTACCGTACTATAGTCAATGCGAGACGAAGTCCCGCGCGATGCCACGGCCGGTGCCTGGAAATGTGCGCATACCGATACTCTAGTACTGTACTTACTCGAAGTGCGCTGTTGGTACTCGAGTACCGGTACTGTAAAGTACTGCTTTCCACGATAACAACAACAGGCCCCAAAGGAACTGAGGTGCCCCGCAAGGCCACCCCATCTACTCACAACTCCCGAAGCAAAAATCACCATATCCCTCCCTCCATCCTTCCACCCCAGCCGCCATGCTACAATGACACTGGTATTCTGACCATAATACGCCACAGATCACCGTACCACACATGACCATAGCCCTCCACCATGCTTACTTGCTCACTCAACCCACCCACCCATCATACCGCAATCTAATCGTCCGTACAGCACCAGCACAGTTACCACAAACCCATAATCCGCATCGCCCCCGTCACACCAGCAACGAATCACAACACGATCTCACAAAAAATCCCTCACATAACCGGTCCAGACTCCTGTGGGCCCATCTTGATCCATTACTTCCGCCCCGGGGGGGCTAGATTTCGTTCGCTCTGTTCTACCGGTAATCCGTGCACTTCCCGCGGGTCCACCGCGGTTTAGGGTAAGATGCGATGAACGGGCCAGATCGCATGTACTGCAATGGGTGAGATACCGGGTTCCGGGTTTGGACTACTCGAGCAGTTCGTGACACTCTTGAGAGTAGGAAAAGTCGTTCACCTAAACCAGGGAGGTATGATACTAAGGTAATCATGTGGAATCACTCGGTTCACTGCGGCAACGTATGAGGGGGGGGAGTTCTGGGACTTTGATGGGTAGGACACCGCGCAGTTACTTCGTGGGGTGGAAAAGAAGGTGAAAAGAACGCAACATACAACACACAAATCCAGCGCCAGTCGACCGCTTTCCCTTGGTTTTTTTCCTTTAGCAAGACATACATAGGAGAAAGATAAACTAGCAATCAAAGTAGGACAAGCACCGCAAAGCAAACCAAAGGAGTATGGGAAGAAAAGAAAAAAAAGAAAATGGGCCAATCCTAGGAGATGAAACGATACGGTGGGGAGAGAATTGGTCTTTTACTTTCAATTCTGTATGATATTCCTGCGCAAGAATAATTCGAGGAAGATGAAAAAAAAAAAATAGGGTGAAAATGAAATAAAGATAGCAATGAATTTAGTATGCCAGCCTAACTTTTCAATCAATGACTAGAAAGGACAATAGAGACAGCAAGCGAGAGAGAGGGGGAGGGAGGGAGAGAGAGAGCCCATCTAAAACCGTGAAGCCCTATTCTGCGCCCTATACGCCGTGTACCCTACATATCCACCAACAATCACAGCTATGAAAATGATCATCTTCAAAAAGAACCAACCCCATCCACCGCTAGACTCGCTCCTGTCACCTCCCCCATTGCTTGGCTTCCACGCCTTACCGATCTTGTCAGGGCGTTTGCCACTGCTGCCACTAGTGCCGGTGTGGACCTGGTACAGGTTCTTCGCGGTCACGGTGATGATGTCGTGATTGTCTGGGCGCGCATTAGCAGACCGCATCGCCGAGGGGAGGAAGGGTGGGACATTACCACTGAGTTCGCCAGTTTCCGCGGTAAAGCCGAGGTAGGTTATTTGTGGGAGTGTGACGTTGGGAACATTGAAGCAGGGTGTCCATTGATCTTCGCTCTTGTATTGGAGGTCGAGTTGGAGATAGTTTTCCTGGAAGTAGGTTAATCGTGCTTTTGTGGCAATCGGTGCGCCTCTAATGCCCCTAGCCTGTATTCATTAGGTCTGGTCAATATGTTATAAGCAATCCAGCATAGGACTTAAGAACCAACCGAACACCCAGCCAATTCGTTCTCCTTCCCGTCGTTTCCATGCTGGTACACGGTCTGTCCATCGCCTGCATCAGTTGTCAGAAAGCCACCGGATCCTACCCACATTGTTGTATCGGAGGCCTACCAAGCATAGCCATAACATACGGAAAGACAACCCCCGGGCGATTGTTCTTATAAGTATCAAAAAATACTCCAAGACCCTCGAATTTGTCTGCAGCTCCAAACACTGGACCCTGCATAGCCCTCTGTTTAGTAATCCACAAAGCCATTCCATCACCATAAAGATTTCCTTGTCCATGAATTTTGAACTCCACTTCGATCTATAAGTCCCCTCCACGGCACTGTTAACACACTCCTCCCCTCAAGCCAGCGGTGGGGCTGGTGAAGGGAAGCGTTTCCTACCTCCCAGTTCGTTGCCGTGAGCGGCAACCTTGACCATAGCCATCCGGCCTGCTGCTGTCTATCTGAAGTTAGGCGAATGTATCTATTCCACCCACCAGTAGTATTAGCACCAAAGCCCTTCCTCTCAGCAGTGGAAGGAAAAAACTCAACTGGTCTGCCCGAACAATAGTATCACCCCCCCAATCAAACCACCGACTCTGCAATTCTGAATCTAAGTACGGCTATCCCCCACCACCTCATCGTTAGTCCCACTCCTCCTCATCCTTTCCCTCTAGAAACGGAAACATACCTGAAACAAACTATGAGTTCTCAGCGGCACTGTCTTGACATCATCATCCGCAGTACTCTGCCCCAATCCCTCGCGCACGAGCGCTAGCGCAGTGAATATTGAGCAAAAGCTCCACTTCATAGCTATGTGTTGTGTCTCCTTTAGATAGCGGACCGTTCTGTGTTGTGGTGGTAGGTGAGGCGGGGTTAAGTTTCTTGCTCACTTGCTTGCTTTCGCGGAGGTTCGGCAAAGGGGGGGTGAAAGTGAATGTTATGGTATGATACACCTGGGTTAGGATTCCTTGTGGACAGCTTTCGCGAAGGTTGCCAAGAGGTTTTTGGGATTTATCGGTGGTTGCTGAACTAGGGGTTGGGATGGGGAATTCACGTTTGCAAGGTAAAATACGGCATGCAGGGCTAAATAACTCTTTCTACAGTACTTCTGCGAGCACCTTATCATAATACCGGTATTTTGTTTCAGCGCCAGTACTACACTTTTCGGGTCAAGGAAAGTTTATCCAGGAGCCTCATAGACCGGTACAGTACCCTACAGGTACGATAAGTTAGACCCAGCTCACATCTCATCTCCCTATCTACCATACCCGTATCACACTCCAGTTCAAGCACCCTCCCCGCCTCACCATTACCGACAGCAAACAATATTTTCTTCCAAAGCCACTTCGACAAAATGGATAACATTGGGAATATGCTCGGCCTCAGCAATAATGCTACAAAAGAGGAACGCAAGCAGGTTCTATGCCCCCCATTCCCTCCTAACCCTTCCAACCCCGACAAATAATAGTGTTTTTAGGCATTTAATGTCAACAAATGCCCCAACATTCGAACATTGAAAACGCCCGCACATTGATTGAAGTACTGTACCCGTCCCATTGCTATCACCACCCATCGGCTGCCGAACTAATGGGCAATAGAAAATCAACGAAAAATGCTTTGAAAAGTGCGTTCCTAAGCCGGGAACCAGTCTATCTTCTGGGGAAAGTGTATTTTCTCCTTTCCCACCAGGGAGAGATGGGACAAATGGGGCAGTGGCTGATATTGCGATAGACTTGCTTGACGACTTGCATGCAGAAGTATATGCAGGCATGGAACGCGGTGTCCCAGGCTTATATTTCTAGGATTAAGTCGGATCCGAGAGGGAATTAGAGTGGGAGATGGGGTGGATAGAAACAAAAACAAATAAACACAAACAAAATCGTGGGTTCGCTTTGTTAGACATATGTTCTTCGAGAGCGCTTGCGCCCTATGTTGGTTGGAAGATTCGGCAACTCTTGGGCCTATTATATATATCCCATTGGGAGCACTCGAGAAATAGATAGGGCAACAGCAGTGTCATTTTTGTCCCCAGAACCCAAAAATCCTAAGAAAAGGCAATTAATTACGCTCATAATATTATTATGTCCTTTGGCAAATACCCTCCGTAAACCCGCCACGTACCTCGACCCACTTAGACTACTGCTCTCTTACCTCTTCCCCGGAGCCGGCACTCCAGTAACACTCTTGCTAGCATTATTAAATTCCAGCACAGTAATGGAGCACTCGATCTCCTTGCATAGCTCCTTCCTCCGGTTCACCGGTAGCTTCGACAAGAATTCCACGCCCGAAGCTCTCTCCACAATACTAAGCGGCACCGAAAACTCCTCCAATCTGGTGCTGTTGTCGATAACAGCGTTCGGCAGAACAAACGCCCCAACAGCAACGGTCCCGCCAACAACACCGTCTTCCGCAAGGATGACTTTGTAGAAGTGTGTGGGAACGGCCACGTTCGGGGGATTACCAATGACTTCATAGGAGACGTGGTACTTGCCCCCGGAGTCGCGGCGGGGGAGATAGAGGGGTCCGGTCACGATTCGGACAGAAGGGTATCTTGAGGTTAGGCGGCGGCAGAAGTCCTCGAAATGGGACCAGTCTGGCTTGTATTAGGCTCGCATGGAGGATGGTAAGCAGGAAAATATGAATTTGGGACCCTTACAGTCACGGTTGAATCCCGCGCCAACTTGCGGGCACATGTTTGTTAGGAAAAAAGTATCGTCCATAGCTTCCTGGCTGAATTTCGCGTCTGCGGCGGGGACCTAAAACGCAGCCATTAGTCCACAACAACATTTGTAGATACGGAGTAATACCTGGTGCCCACGGTCGTACCCACTTCCCCTATAATCATTCAATCTAGCTCTAAACTTCTCCGGAACTATCCTCCCAGTTTATCAGTCCCGTCACCTCCCCCCCTCTCCTCCTACCCTTCATAATGCAACATACCATCATGATCCTCCACAAACTTGCTCCGATGCCGATCCCCCTCCTTAGCGGCCACCGACTCAGGAGTTATATGTTCAGCAACCCAAATTGGATTTCTCGTCCTGCGATCAAAAGCCGAAACCAAAGCCGCCCTCGTCGCAAGATCATTCACAGGTCCGGGAAACCCGTACTGGAACAGCCCCGAAGGATCAACCGGTTTCCGCGACTGTGCTGCCTTCACTGGGGAGCTTGTAATGCCTACCAGTGGCGGCAGACGGCCGCCCGAGGTTGCCGGAATCCCTTTTGTTGCCGGGACAGCGGGAGGTACGATCTTTTGGTTGTTTACGGTGGAGTAGTAGATTGCTGTTGCGGCAGATCCGGCCGCGGCCGAGGCGGCGGCGATCAGGCCGAGTGTTGCTTTTGACATTTTTAGCCTCCTTTTCCCGACCGAGTGCAAGAAAAAGAAGGGATGGGGATGGGGATGGGGATGGAGGGGGTCATGGGCGGGATTTATGTCGGGGGTGGAGTGGGTCTTTTCGTTCCCTTGATTTTGCCTTTCTCCAGGGATTCCTGCATATCAGCACAGAGTTTCACAAGATGCGGGACTTAAGCTAGTCCCTAACAGTTCGGGTCTTACCGGTAGATACGTTATAAATTATTTCTCGTGTATCACACTCGAGTACTGTACTCGTACTGGTACTACTGGTAGGTGTGAAGGCCCCTCCAAGATGCGTCCAAAAAGGGTAAACTTTCACCCTTTCTGGCTCATTTTTAGGCCCGAAAAAGAGTACCCCTTCATCCTTCATCCCTTTATCCTAGATGCTATTGCCTACTCCCTGTGAACAGGAACACCAGTTCCCGGAGATCTAGCGCTCAGTTGGCCAACTACTCCGCAAATCACTTTTTATTCTTTCTCCTATGTCAGCAAGGTACAGAGTTACCATAAAAACCAAAATAAACGAAAGATGTGCTATGTAAGTCATATAAAAGCAAAAAAAACAAAAAAAACACCAGACCTCACCAGAGGTCCCTATTACACTGATTATCACTCGGAAACCAATCTATCCTCATTTTGGTCTACAATTACCAACCCGAGAGGGGAAAAGTCAAAGTCCAATTACCTCATTGCTTGCACCCCTCGTATTCTCGCCCATCATAATGGATTGGGTCCTATCAGGTGGCAAACGGTACAAAGAAGCGATATGCCCTGAGCGTTGTTACCTACGATTAATGGGAGTATTGCGCCATGGTATCAAGAGGCTTTGCCTCCTTTTGGAATTGACACGAAGAATCTTTGGGGATCTGTGAGAACTCAGTATATTTCGATATTTTTACAGTTTTGAAACCTCAATTTTTACCAACCTTAGTCGTCGGATGGTCCATGGGTTAGAGAGTTGTTTCACACTGGTGAAGTACTAGTAGTACGGGGTGACGGTAAAGAAAACTTTTGTTTATTACACCATGGGTTGGTGGTTTGAGACTCCAATCCAAAAACCACACACACTAATTGAGTACTGTACATAAAACTTCTAGTACAGACATAGGTGAAACAAATTCTGAAGAAGCAAGAAGGGAAGGAGAAGAATGAAGGGGGGAAAAAAGAGTCGGGCACGTAAATTCAAGGCATAAACAAATCTCCCCGACTGTCTACCCCCCCCCCCCCACTATCTCTATTTCTTCTCTGCATCATTGAAGCAAGAAAGAGATACTTAATTCTGAATGACTGGTCTGGGGATACCGATGCCCTGTTGGGGTAATACAGGTGGGACTGGCAGAGAAAGCAGCCTCTGTTGGAGAAGCCGTGGCTTCAGCTTCGGCGGGACCAGGCTCAGGGGCCGTGGCAGGTGCCGGCTCGTCAGCTTTAATATCCGGGATAGCAAGGCGATACATAGCCCTGCGTTCGAGACATTCCTCCGGGTCCTCCTCTTCGGTGTCAAGGAGGGCCGCGGGAAGCAAATGGGCAGGAACCGCATAGTCAGGAGTATCGCTCGCCGATAGTAGTGGGAACAGTCTTGAAGCGGTTCAGTAGATAGGCATGGGTATCGACGTCGTCGACATCTTCGGCTGCTATGAAGTTGTTTAGGGTGATTGGAACCTCGACGTGCCCGTCGAAGCGGTCAGAGATAGGCTCGTGAGGCTTTGCGGTGGGGATAGGTTCGGAAATATGGCCACGGTGGGGAGTATTTACCCAAGCTTCCTCGGGACGCTCATTCTGGCTGCTCACCCAGACGCGTTGCCAGTCTTCGATGCAGTACTTGGGGGCATCAATATATTCTTCGATCCTAGCGGCCTGCTTCGCGCCATTTCCTTGGACATGGTATCCGGATCCCTCCTCACAGTGGGCTTCTTGTTCCTCCTCCTCGGGAATGAAAGTAGCGGGCTGGACTAACTAGGCGGACTCCTGATCTTCACTAGCGAGGCCAGGAATGATTCTTCGTCTTCACCAGCGAGGCCGGGAATGACACTTCTCTTTTCGGTCGGTGCGATATCTGCGACTTCATAGGGTTCTCGTTCAGCTTTGGCATTCCCAGAAGCATTGAAACGGCCTTTGATAGTACGAGCTTGGCGACAAAATTCGCTGACCCCCAAGTCGGATGTCAATGATGGCATATCACAATCATTATGAGAGAACTTCCCACAACATCCACCAAAACCTGCCCAACAGGTGAATGGACTACACCAAAGAAAAGTAGAGTTCTTACTCTCTTGGACTCAGGCACTTCAAAGCATGAGATTGAATGACGTATGAGTGTTCCATGATCTACAATTTGCTTGTGGGAAAAAGAGCGTTATAACTGATGATCCAAGAATTGTTCCAGCTGACTACCACTCTTGACACAGCATGATATATGCCATTTGATATATCTCCTGAGAGGTAACTGGGAGGGCTGTAGTCTTTGCTGGAGGAAGTTGTAGAAGGAGGCAGGATTAGCAGTATTGGGAAGGACAGTTCAGTGTGCACTTGAGGGAGAAGGCTATACCCGCTGCAAAGCCTGCAAGAGGCCATTCATCAATCGTGATACTCAAAAAGCGAAACTGCAGTACTCACTTGAACATGCTGATAAATTAAAAAGCTGGTGGAGTGTAATGAGACTCTGCGGAGTACTATTACAGTTAGCCAAACTTATACCAATACCAGTGTCAAGAAACTACTGCAGTCGGAATGGTGGTAGACTAGAGTCTACTGAGTAGAGGTACTATTAGTTAGGTACCTCAGTCAGACATGCTATACCATTCTAAGAAGTACATAGGTACTAGTAAAGAGCGGTGGTTACCCTACTCTGTAGGGTAACCCAAGTGGTCAATTTAGGAGTTACCCTAAATTTCTCAATGGTGGGCCCAGGTAGAGTTGCCCTACCTTCAGACTAAAGTTACCCTACCTTGGGGCATGGGTTACTCTACTATAGAGCCATGTTACCGTATCTTGAAAGTAACATATTACACAGGTCTTCAGGAGAAGTTACTAGATTGTTTGTCACATGAATTAATATAAGGTGTTCGAGTCTCAGGTTGTGCAGATCACTCCCACACAAGCAGTTGAGCTCTAAACAAGCTGTAACTTGGAGGTATGGTATCTAACACTCCCCTGTAGCCCTGTTATAGGTTCCTAGCATCATGGGCTACAGCTCGAAGAGTTGCTGTAAGTATAGTAAAAGTCTACAAGGTGAGATACTCCTATAACACCGTATATGTTTAGGCCATTCAGTCAACTGGAAGCTGTCTGCAGGATATATGAGGGGGTAGAGAGGAACTTGGAAGATGGTCTACAGGTAGTTTTGTGCAAAATGGACCAGATGTGGCAGAGTAATACAACTTTGAAGTTGGAAGTAGTATGTGAGATTACTGGAGGCCTATAGGTGAGGTAACCAAAGTCCATTGCCCCAAAAGTGTGATAGTATTTGAGAATCATTAAGGACTCCAAGATACTAGACTGAGGTTATGATGAGACCTACTTCCAAGAGGGTTGACAGTGGGTAGCATCTATTAGTAGTCAATATCTGAAGGAGTCTATTGGGGGAGCTAAGTGGCCGTCATCTGGAATGCTATAGAATAGAGTAGAATCGGATAGATGTTCTGGGGCTGAGGATGCTTGTAGAAGCCTAAGTATATATGAGTAGAGAGTTCTATAGTTGGTACTGCATCCATTTAAGCATAACAGCTTGCTATGGAGATGTCCGCGATAAGAAGAGTTTTTACTCCTACAGTTGCATTGTAGATGTAGTGGCTAAAACTCTTCTTTCCGGTAGATGTTAGTAAATCATAGAGTTGTCTAGCTTGCTATAGAGGATCTTTGGTCTGACCCATGGAGGTTAGCTAGACAACCCAAGGGAGTTGTGTGCTCATGAATGCATAGTAGTGATGGGGAGCAACTGGCAATATTTGAAATATACTTAAGTATATGTGAGTTCTCCTCTACTCTGGCAATCAACTACTTCTTAAGCTTAAGATGTAATTGAGTAAAAGCTGTGGCTTAATGATTTTAAGATTTATGGTTTTGTTTCTTCAACTCTACTACTGAGATGTTGAAACTTTCTTAAGTTTATTCTCAGAAGAATTGATCAAGATGCAGTCGCAACTTCGAGATCTATGTTCTCAGTGGGAGCCTTGGTTATATGGTTGCACCACCTCTATTCTGAAAAGTGAATTTTTGATACCTCTCGCCGAGGTTCTGCTTAGATCATAAGGCTTCTAGTTAAGAGCTTCTGGAAGGATTGTGTTCAGGATCCCTGTAACAGTGTTGCAGCATTGGTACTAATACGGGGTGTAATAAGCTATAATTGGAAGTGGAAAATTGTCTTTCTAGCAGGTACAGGGCAATAAGGAATTTTAATAAATAACTACTTGGACCAAACTCTCAGGTGCATTGTTGCCCCTACTTTAAAACCTCTCTAACAGGCTACAAGGCATCAATTTTGAGGCTGAGTTTATTGAAGATCAGGAACTATGACAGGAGACAAAGCAGGACCTTATAGAGGCTGTTAGGAGTCTCAGGATCCAATACATAGGAAACTATCCAAAGTAGGCTAAGCCCACTCGGAATCGGAATCTTTGGTCTCCAACACCCCCTTCCTGTTCCATTACAGGACCTACACATTATCATACATATTTATATCAGTTGCGTCCAGTGACTAAAAAGTCAGAGAATTGAAGGAATAGGAATAACACTGCATAGATTACTGCTGTCTGTCCAAGCAGATCCTGCTCATAGGATATATATGAGAGGGGATCTTTGGCTAAGTCTAGGAAGTGGAATGCAGTAAAATCCATCAACTACTCAGGGAGTTACTAGGCTTCAAAGATGTGATATCTTTGGTATAAGCTGTAGGTAATGGGATGTTTTTATACAAAAATATGGTATCTATTATTACAGGTTCTCAATGAGAAACCAATACATTTGCACACACTCTATGATAAATAGAAGAGTGTAGAACTTTGAGGAATACTACCATAGAAGTCAAGGGACTT